TTACCAACTCAAGTGACAAATCCAGGATGAAAACCCACATAGTTTGGCATTAGAGCTTATATTCTTAATCACTGTACTGTACAGTGGTGAGACAGAGAAGATTGTCAACTGTAAGGTTGGAAGTGGAGTAAGAGCTGGGAGAGGTAATTTTTTTTTTTTTTTTTTTCCAAAGATGGGGTTTCACCATGATGGCCAGGCTGGTCTTGAACTCCTGACCTCAGGTGAGCCACCCACCTCAGCCTCCCAAAGTGTGAGGATTACAGTCGTGAGCCACTGCACCTGGTGAAGTGATTATCTTTTTAAGAGGCTGCAGTGAGCTGAGATCGCACCACTGCACTCCAGCCTGGTCAACAGAGCGAGAATCCGTCTCAAAAAAAAAACTGAAATACCTTATACACAGATATACAGTATGAACACGTTGTAAAGCAGGGACTGTACACCAGTGCTATGATGTTATTATTAGACATAACAAATTGGAGAAAATAACCCGTTAGTATGGGACATGTTGGGTTTGTCTTTGAATGTGTCAAATATGGAGTGGAGTGGGGTCTCCAGGGAGAGAGTTTCCACAGACACTTGAAAATACAAACCTGAGATTTGCTTATAGATCAAGTTACTAGCATTAGAGTGATAACTGAAGCCATTAGAGGGAAAGAGTAAGTTCATTGAGAGAATATAGTAAGAGATATGTGTTCATGTAGGTATATATATAGTTTTTAAAGTTTTCAACCTAACACGTTCTAACTAGTAATCTAGAAAAATTCTGTATAGAAGAGAGAAAGAAATTAATGTGAGTGATTATTTTAGTAAATATAATTTGTTATTTTCGTGTACCAGACTCTAACCAACTTCCCTTTTTGGGGGGTTTTGGGGTTATACAGCAAAAAGCATCACAAAGTCCACAAAAACAGCAACCCCTCTTAGATAATGAGGTAAGTTGATGTAATCACCTTTTCTTTGGAATTGATTATTTTTGCAATGGAAATGAAATGTTTATGTGTGATTATCATGTTTTCAGTGATCAGAATATTGCCATTTTTCCTTTTCCCTCCTCACAAAATTCTACTGACAAGGGAGAAGATACAAGCCAAGGAGTTTATTAGAATCTATAGATGGAGGCTTTTTTCAGCTATACATATCCATCTAGAGATTATATTTCCCTCCCTGACCCCACCAGAGGCATCATCCCCGTCTCCTCCATATTTGAAGCATGGTGTGTAGAGTCCTGGCAAAGATAAATGGAGTGTATATTAAACAAGAAAAAGACTCTTAGATACTATTTCAGCTTCAAAGTTATCAATTATACATTCACTTTATAATATCAAATAGTACATTTTCATTACAGATTAACATAAAATTAATCACTTAACCTTTTAAAGATCTACGTATCTATTTTGATCTGTTAAAATGAAGCTTACTAAATGTTTTTATAGCAGTTGGCTTTCTCATTAACCATTTTCCCTTTATCTTTACCTTCCAGTTTTTCCAGTTTATGATCATTACCTCCTTGAAAAATGCATAAAAGCATTACTTCATGTGAATTTTGATTTTTCTTTTTATAAAATATTTGAAAACCTAACACATGGGGCTTTACAAGCAACAGTTTTCAGTGCAGTGTTTTTAAAGCACAAGTATTTCTCATATGGGAAATGTATTGTTTGAAATGTTCCCACTTGTCCATTATAAAGGGTTTTTAATAATTGTATCAGACATAAGACTTTTTTTTTTAAATATAAGGACACTATGTATTTTTATAATACCTGAAAGATTGACTCGAGCATCTTCACTTGTCTTTTCTTCACCTGGTAGTAATTCTAACAAATTTTTGACAATCAAAGTTTGACAAATTTAATATATTTTTTCTTTTTTACTCTGGTATTTCCTTCTTGATAATTGTTTTCAAATAATTCATTCTCAAGAAAACTAAAGTTCCACAGGAAAATAAAATATATAGTTCTAAAAATTGTAACTGTACTTTTCATTTTGTTTGAGAAAGAAAATGAAGAGATACTTAGACTAGGAATCATGACTCTTGGGCTTCTTGTTTGTCACTGGCTTACTAAATGACTACAAATTCTTTATGTTATTGTTACATCTCTCTCCAGCTTTCTGTTCCCTCCTTGCTTTGGAAGGTGTTAGGCAATAAGATCATATTTGAAGTTGTTTAAACTCTGGGAGAACATCAGTACTCAGAACCAACTTATTGATTATTATAATGCATGAATTCCAGATGATTGTGAATGTGGTCCTCTATGTCAGCATCTTCAAAAGTATGTCTTAATATGTCTCTTTCTTTGTGTATTTGTGAATATGTCACACATGTGCGTAGTCTCTTTTTGACATTGCTTCATTTTTCTCCACCTCTCCAGTGCTCCTTCCCATCCAGAAGGTCTCAGCACACTGATGATAGTGCCTTGTTAGTGGTAAGAGTTTTGCACAAAATGGAGTTTTACATTTCCGTGTTTGGAGATTAAAGAACAGCTATTACACTATTCAGAAACTATCTAAATACCATAAAACATGATGAGCATCATTACTAAATGCTTTATAAATAAATAAACCATTTTTCTACATTACCATTTGTGGTTTACCCAGTGTTTCAGATTCTGCAGCTCATATCTTTGTCAGTGCCTCCAAAAGTAAAGCATTTGCATTGCAAACCGTATTGGCCTTGTATGTGTGCTGGGAACAGGGACATATCATAATACTCATTTTTTAAATAGTTATAATTCCAGGAGCACTTACTTTATTAATCATTAATTTGGCTCATGGGCCACCTGTGTGTTAAGTGGAGTCCACTACCCCATGACCCTGATTGTGCAACTGTATATTTGGCATCCTATTTTATTATGCATTTTAAGCTACTGAATATCCTTAACTTTGGTTTCAAATACTTATATCTCAGTATTATTCCTTCATGTTCATTTTGTAAACTCAAAACATTAACTACTGATCATTTTTAACACTGGTTTACTTTTATTTCCTCTTTCATCAGCTGAAAATGAGTGTAAGATGGAAGATTTATTTAAAATCTTACTTTTATTAGCCTTGTGAAAGGATTCTAACCATTTATACAATTTCTTTCCCATCATGTTTTATGCTATTTTTTTCATAGTAGCGCGATTCAGAATTCTAGTGTCTACAGCAGTTCTGTCTCATGTGCTAGTAACTGCTGCCACTGCGCATACTATTGCATGAACTGCATGCTTCAGCATGAGATTCCTATTATATAAACTTCCATGGTCTGTTAAAATTTCTGTGTACTCTGCAATCTTCATTTCCTTTGAGATGGATAAAGCGCCTTTTAACTTGGCAGTCTTATAGATGATTGCAATCATCAGACTCTAGAGTTTTAATGGAAGTGAATTGGCATAAAAAGCAAATAATAATTTAAATTAACATAGAGAAATACTGAGAGCCTCTGATGATCCAGACAATTAGCAAAATTATCTCATTTACTCTTCATAGCAACTTTAAGAGTTAAGGTTAAACTTACCACCTTTTTACAAGTGGTTGCTGAGGCACAGAATATCATGTCCAGAATGTGACTTGTCCAAGGTCACATAGCTAGTAAGTGCAAGGCTGGGAATCCACATCTGTCTGGCTGATATGAGAACCTGCTATAAACACCATGCTGTACTGCTTCCCATGCTGTAACTGAAAACAGTTTAGGAAACTGAAGATTTAATAACACATATAGTAAGTGATGTAAGTCTGAGTGCCAAGACTTTTTTGTCAAGGAAACAGTGGAATTTAGAAAAACAACAACAGCAAAATCCCCTTAGTGTGAAATATGAAATTTCCTTCAGCCATTTGTCAGAACACATTCACTTATGTTTAGTTATCAGTATTCATGTCTGTTCCTCCAAATTGGATGGTATTTAAAAGCAAGGAATTTCTTCTAAGTCCAATGACCTTTTTTTTGAGACGGAGTCTTGCTCTTTCATCCAAGCTGGAGTGCAGAGGCACAATCTCGGCTCACTGCAACCTCCACATCCTGGGTTCAAGCGATTCTCCTGCCTCAACCTTCCAAGAAGTTGGGATTACAGGTGCATGCCACCATGCCCAGCTAATTTTTGTATTTTTAGTAGAGACAGGGTTTCGCCATGTTGGTCAGGCTGGTTTTGAACTCCTGACCTCAGGTGATCCCCCTGCCTCAGCCTCCCAAAGTGCTGGGATTACAGGCGTGAGCCACCGCACCCGGCCCCATATCTCACATTTCTTGGTATGACAAATAGTGTGTAACCAACACTGCAAAAAGAGTCATATTTTAAATAAAACCTCATATTATCAAAACTGTGCTTCAGAAGGCTTCATATTGCTCTTAGAGTAATCAAAACATGCCTAGAAGTTCCTTCTTGCTCTGTCTGCTGTCTCCCTCTCCGGTTTCACCTCTGAGCTTATGCTATACCAGCATTTTTTTCAGATATAATAAGCCCTTTCCCACCTCAGACCTTTGCAAATGCTATTCCTTTTACATAGAATGCCTTTCCTTCACTGCATATACCCCTTGATTAGTTCCTACTCATCTATCAGGTATTTGTTTAAATGTCACATCTTTAACATGGCTTCTCTGCAGCCCACTACCCTTAAATCAGCCCACAGTTTATTGGCAGTTAAATAAGTAGACAGGAGTTCCAGTACATTTGATGAAAAGGAGGCCCAGGAAGTACAGTTGATTACTGTTGTCACAGTAATTTTTTTTATCATAGTATGTTTATTGTTTTTTATTTTTATTTTATTTTTAATTTAATTTCATTTTATTATTTATTTATTTATTTTTGGACAGGGTCTCCGTCTGTTGTCCAGGCTAGAGTGCAGTGGCACGAACATGGCTCCTTGAAGCCTCAACCTCCTGGGCTCAAGTGATCCTTTTGCATCAGCCTCCTGAGTAGCTGGGACTACAGGTGCATGCACCACAGGTGGCTAATTTTTTAAAAAAATCTTTTGTAGAGACAGGATCTCACTGTGTTGCCCAGTCTGCTCTCTTACTACTGGGCTTAAGCAGTCCTCCTGTCCCAGCCTCCCAAAATGCTGGCATGAGCCACCGTGCCCAACTTGTTTATTCTTTTATAGTCTCTTTTCTTTTCTTTTTTTTTTTTTTTTGTTGAAGGGTGTTTGTTAGCCGTGGTGGAGTGCAATGGCGCGATCTCGGCTCACCGCAACCTCCGCCTCCCGGGTTCAGGCAATTCTCCTGCCTCAGCCTCCTGAGTAGCTGGGATTACAGGCACGTGCCACCATGCCCAGCTAATTTTTTGTAGTTTTAGTAGAGACGGGGTTTCACCATGTTGACCAGGATGGTCTCGATCTCTTGACCTTGTGATCCACCCGCCTCGGCCTCCCAAAGTGCTGGGATTACAGGCTTGAGCCACCGCGCCCGGCCTATAGTCTCTTTTCTATTAGACTACTAGACTATAAGCTTCATGAGCACACGGATATTCTATTTTGTGTTAATATGCCTTAATATACTCCATCCCTACCACAGTTCCTGGAATATATTAGGTGCTCAGTGAATATTTCCTGAATGGACACATAAGTTCTGTGCATCTACTGATTATTAAATAGTTTCATGATGAAAAGTTCTGATGGTATGGTAAGGTAAATGTTTGATTTGATTTAAAGACCTTGAAACATAGGATTTGAAATAAAAATTTCTAACAGCTAATATCCGTTACATGGACATTCTCTTCGGGCTATTCCTCAAGCTTCTGTTGCTTTCATCTAAATCAGGTCTAATTTTAAAAGAATATGAAGTTCGTTTTAACTCCTCTTCTTCCACTTCTATTTTTCATTTTTATATTTGAGATTGGCAGTATTTCCAGTACCTTTGATTAAAAAGAAGGCCTGGGAAATCTAAACTGCTAAAGCATACACAGTATATTACCATTGTCACAGTTTTGTTTTTTGGTATATTTTTATTATTTACTGCCTTAAGATAGATTTTGTGATACACGTAATACATTGTGTGTTACATGCTTCTTTTATCAAAGAAAAATATGTTAATACTCATTAAAACTACAGCTTTATTTTGTTGACCATATATACATACCTTTTCCTAAATACCCATTTGTGGTTTTTTTTTTTTTTTTTTTTTTTTTTATTATTGTGTTTTTTTTTTTTTTTTTTTTTTTTTTTTTATTTTTTTTTTTTTTTTTTTTTTTTTTTGGGACGGAGTTTCTGTTACCCAGGCTGGAGTGCAATGGCGCGATCTCGGCTCACCGCAACCTCCGCCTCCCGGGTTCAGGCAATTCTCCTGCCTCAGCCTCCTGAGTAGCTGGGATTACAGGCACACGCCACCATGCCCAGCTAATTTTTTGTAGTTTTAGTAGAGACGGGGTTTCACCATGTTGACCAGGATGGTCTCAGTCTCTTGACCTCATGATCCACCCACCTCGGCCTCCCAAAGTGCTGGGATTACAGGCGTGAGCCACCGCGCCCGGCCCCCCATTTGTTTTATTGTTCATTTATCTCATGGTTTAGAAATTTGTGGTCCTTGTTTAAATTTTTTTTTAATTTAACTTATAAAGACTTCACTATTTTTAAGCTCTTGGCGTTTTCTTGTTTTAATAGATAAAACTTTATCTAGTGCCCTTTTTCAAAGTACTGTCTTCTCTGATTTCCACTCCCCATGTGGCAAATGAGAAAAATTTTCATGTTTTGAACATCTCTTACCTGTAATCAAAATTCTATATAATAAATTAAATTTTTTTCTTTTTAATTGACAATAATTATATCTACACATTAGACTCTAACATTTAGTATCTGCAATTATATCTCTAATACATCTAACCAGTTATATGTTGGTTGGTAAAAAATAAAGGATTTGAAGAAAAGGGAAATTCCACCTTACCCTCTTGTAGATCATTAGGAGTTTCATGGAGGCAGAAATGAAATACTGGTTCATCCTTCAGGCTGATGCAGAGTCCTCATGTCCTGTATTTGCATATTGAATTATAATATATTTATTTTTTATTAATGCTGAAAAAGTATTGTTTTCATTCAGGCCAGTTCTGCGTAGTTAAAATCCCCCATCATAGGAACAGGACTCATTAGTTTCAAGGCTACTATGCTAAAAATGTTGATGTTCTGTTTTATTTGTGCATCAAATCATTGTTAATAAATCATGCCTCTCCTTTCTTGATTAATGTGGCATGAGGTATTGAAACTACTCTGAATTATACAAGTGGAAAAACGGTGTCGATGGGTTTCTGTCCCCCAAATACCCTCTTTCTGCCCTGTCAGTAGCTTAGTAAACCACTTGAAAGATTGTCAGTGACCTTTCCTTTTCTAATTTCACTAGTCAAATCTGCCTACCTGACATTTTGCTAACATAAATGCCGCCTTCTGTTTCTTCTCTCTGATTTGAAATTTAGCCGCTGTCAGGGTTGAATCACGTGGGCTGTGCTGCTACCCTGCCTCATTCTTCTGCCTTCACACCTCTTAAGGTATCTCTTGTTATTGTAATTCACGAGGAAATTTGGGGAGGGGGCATATATAAGGTCTTGAATTTTTCAGTGAATTGATCTAACAATCGGAAATATAGGATTGCATAAATATACCATTTATGAAACTATTTGAGTTTAACATTGATTTCCCTTGAAATTTTTTGAAAGTTTTAAAGTTTTATGATGCTAGAGATTGCCATAGAGCTCACATTAATTCTTTGTATTCAGACTGTTTGATGTGTTATTCTGATTTTTTTTTTTTTTTTTTTTTTTT